CAATAGCAATAGACGGCTCATTGTAAAAAGACTAAATAAACGAGATATTGAGTGGATTGATTTCTAGCAGACGTTAGAAACAGATCAAACTTGAACAGAGTGCGAAAGTACAACAATTACAAGGTATGCATAGTGTAGAGGTTAATTTCCTCTATATCTGATTCCAATAAATAGTATCCAGGATAAATCTCCTAGTAGAATTATGGATTTACTCGAGATTATTCAAAAACCTGAATACCAGTTATAGAAATAGTACAGGAAGTAAGCACATAGGGAAACCAGTGTGTGTTAAAAGTCCATATATATTTATGAGTGTTAATTGGTTATGGATAAATTATTGATTGTGTGTATTACAACCAATGGAAGAATAGATTAAAGATCTGTGTGCAGACACGTGCTCGGTCAAACTCACGCAATTGTACATATTGGATTAGGTGTCTAAATTACAATGAGCATACAAATAATACAGTATTTAGTTGAATGAGCTTACTACAACAGAATGTTCTCAATCAATTCTGAAACATACATATAAAAATTGAAAGTGTACAAGGGTTGAACGTTTTAAGTTATATTCAGGGATGTACTCAATAGACGTACTAGAAATCTCTTAGTAAGCTTTTCAAATCATGGTGTAAAAAATTCAATGAGCAAATCGGATTTCTCAGCCCGTTCAACAGACTATATTTATGAGTAAATTTAGTTCTAATTTTATAAATTGTTTCATAACCTCAGAGTAATGCAATACAGAATATCCTATTAAAAATTCCGTCAATCCTTTACAGAAATAATAGCTTGCTGTATTAACAAAAGCTGTCAGAATCAATACCAATGTAATAATCAACTACACTTCAGTAGTTTTAAGAGCTTATTTTATCCAGAATGAAGAATAAGGGATAGAAACGTAATGGAATCTATTAATCTACATAGGCTGTATATGATTAATGAAAAGAACCTCAAATTTTACATTATAGTGTCCGTTATCGACACATACAGAAACCAACTTAATTTCAGAAATATGGATTTAACTGAAAAAAAAAATATTCAAAAGCGATGGAAAGTTGTTGAATTTTTCCTACATTAACTCCACAGAATTTTCTAGGCAATGTGATATAATGGGGCAAAAGTTTAGAATGGTAAATAGATTTTAATCTTAATGATTCACGAATGACTACTGAAACCCATATCTGATACTGGTTAAATTTCCAAAGGAATTTCATTCATGTAAAATATTTTACACTTGAGTGCATAGTTCTCCTGGATATCATATCATATTTTTATGACCAGTCATTATGTTCAGTTGTTAGCGAGAAATAGATTGGATTAAAGCATTCTCCATGCACGGTTGCGTTGACGCACTCTGATTGGCTATTTCTTATCTAAACACCATTAGTCGATACTTAGAGAACACTAGAATCTTCTCATGTGAAAACTATAATATATACTAACGTTTTTCTTATTGTGCTTCTTACTTCCAACTACCCTTGTTTTTTGGAATATAATTTCTTTCCTGTTCAACTGTGTTCTGATTTGGGTATTTCTCGAGTTAATCGGTGTCCAAGAATATTAAGCAATAGGAATAACTCGGTTGTAATATGAGAGAATTATAACATCAGTGTTGTTCATTCACCAGAATTTTTGAGTTAAAAAATTTGATTTGTTAATAGTCATCATAAGACTAGTCTATTCAGAATGATTCAGGCGATCATTGAATACAACTTTATACTTTTATTCAGCTATTAGAAATATGATTTAAAAGAAATGAATAAGATTTGATAAAGGAAAATATCAAATGATAATGAACTAAATATTTTAAATATTAATAATTGACTGTACAAGTGTTTATGGTTGCAAAATGATTAGATATAATATAAACTACTGAATAATATTAAACAGTATGGAGTAGCACGTAAAAGGGCCATGACGGAAAGAATAAAGACGTGAAGATATTGAACATATAGTATTATCAGTATGGGGTTGTGGAAATTATTAAGATCATGAACCGATTGATTTTAGCTTCGTGAGGGAATTCTCGGAGTTCTAGTGAGAAGCCATGACCAGTGGAGTTAATCCATGTCGGGTAGAGACAAGTATCTACTTCAGTACAATGGAAAATGGTCGCGCAATTTCGTGGATCTGTTAAGGTTAGACATTACCACCGCTAGATACCGGCTCAGTGGTCTAGAGGTCAGGTGTTCGCGCGCGTGACTGAAGGCCCTGGGTTCAAATCCCGCGAATGGGATCGTAAATGCACTGCTGAGGAGTTTCACGATAGGATGAAACAGCCGTCCAATGGTCCCAGGTTTCCAATGTTGTTCTGACATATAGTACTAGTAATTCTTAAAATAAAATTACTAAAAAAGAAGATATTGATAATAAAGTTGGAGGTAATATTAGAGCGAACAGGGATTATTTATGGTCTCCCACTAGTGAAATACTTTTGATAAATGAATGCGAAAGATATAAAGAGACATTAATTGGCGAGAAATTGTTTTAATGTGTTAATAAAACGTAAAGAAAATTTTTTAATTGTTCATTAGCAATCAAGGGGAAATTAATAATTAAAAATGCTAATGAATTAATTCACTGATTGATAACAAATGATTTTATTAGTGACCAAGGAATTATTATTGTAGCTGCTATTTTGAGATTGTGGTCGGACTTGTGTACTACGATAACTTAGTCGATGATAATAGTAAAAACGGTAACTTAGAGCCTAAGAGTGAAGTCTTATAGGTATTTATTTGATATGGTAATGATTTTTTCACACCACTATTTCGAATTCATTTGAGGCTATTTCCTAATAGATTCTGTTTACACAAAGGTGTTTACTAACTAATAATCTTTCCATTTTTTTATGTAACTTAAGCAATTTTCTTTTTTTTATTCCAAAGATCATGTAGTCTAATCGACTGCACAGTGCATAAAGTAACAACAATAGTGAATTTTCGGATTTGTTAACTATTTATTGATCAAACTTACTGAGAAACAGGAACAGAAGATAAATGATTTCGTGTTCGTTTAGTGAACGGGAATTCTTGGAAATAATAGAGCAAGAGGTCATAAGTGTATGTTAGAGAGAATCTCTGGAGTTTTTCAAACAAAATACAGACTATTATCCTTTATTCATTGCTTTACAGGATTGAATAATTAAAATCATTTTCAGATTTCTTGATTTTCGATTCTTAAATTCGGATATGTTTAATTATATCTATGTATAGCACTGACGAACGAAGTTATTTTCATTGTTTATGCCTTACATTAGATGGTATTACGTAAAACTCATGAATGTGTAGATGTTAAGCCTTCAAAGAATTTTGGTTTTTATACATTAAGTATGAATTTATTAATACGGATAAAACAGCATACTTATAAATGAAGTTTGATTAGTTCAAACAAATATATTTACTTTTAAGAAGTGGCCTGCATCAGTGTTACGAAACGTCATGAATACAATTTTTCTACTCAGTGGGATATTACAAAAAATATGTTTATTATGAAGTTCGATTATGTTAGTTAAGTGATTTGAGAGTATCCTTAACTTTTGATCATTCTTCTGTAGATGTATCAAATCATACTGATCCAATGATCAGTGAGACATAGCTAAGAGTGGATTGAAAAAAGATTCTCCAAGCTGTTTAAATATTGGACCATGTCTTATGTTTTGTGTGATACATTATCTTACTTATTAGTATTCAGTAGTGTATGTTATGTGCAAACATTTATCGGACATATTTCGATTAATTCATATTTCCTGGTTACAGTGAGCTTGTTGTGTCATTTATTTATTTTAGGTCGTTTTCTTAATTGTGATGATAATTTTAAGATCTTTTTGTGCTGTTTAGTAACACTTCGTGTGACTATTTGTATTGAACAGCTTGCCTAACCAGAGCTTCATTCACTTTCGTTAATTGCTATTACCTGTTTGACGCTACAGTTTAATATTCTCTATTAATAGTAAATGTTATAATGTTGTTCGCATCCAAGTTTATACTTTCTTCTTTTTACTTTCTATTGAACTGTTCAATTGAATCATAGATGGTTTCTTCAGTCTTTGTTATTCAGATTATTTTCAGTTTCAGACACTACTCGTCTTGTGAATTTAAAGTTTTGTATTGTTGGCTGTTATATTAAGCCCATACAGCTTATTCTAGCTTCTGGACAATCCAATTTGTTCATTCTTCTCAAATCACATTTTGACCTTGTTAATTATTCCCTTATCAAAATTGACTTTTTATATGAGCATATGTGTGTACATTTCTTATCCTATTCATCGCATGTCTGTAGCTTATTTTTGTTCGACAATAAATATCGATTCACGCTTGGTTAAGTCGAGTTGACTCACATGCCTTCTCCACTGTGCGTCATTTCGCTTCGTTCCCTCTTCTTTACTTCCTTTGCTACGACTCTCTGGTTGCCTGTTCCGATCAATGATTGTACAAAATCACAATTGATTGATCACTGGGTGGTGATCAATGTCATGTGTATCAAGCCCTTATTTAGTGCAGATCGAATGCTATGGACCATGTTGCAATGTGGCCACCAGTCTAGGTGACTCGACAGGGAGCACCAGTTCCCTCAAGATTACAGGTACACCTTGCTGACGGGTGCCAAGTAGCACAAAACCCGGGTCCAGGGTTTCCTGTCGACTGCCTCCAACCACCATCTAATTGTTCAAAATATACGTATTCGAAATACGTTCTCGTATTTGACTTATTTTAATTCCGTTATTCACTAACGCGTGTTAAGTTGACAATTATATACGAGGACAGCTGGGTTGTATATTTTGACAACAATCATTGATACCATCTAATTGGAGCCAGATATATGACCAATAAAGTGATGAGCCCACCGATAACATCGTCCGATTTAATTGACGTCAAAATAAGGGGACCCACTAAAGTTTTATGAATCATACGATTTTTTTAGGTTAGAATACTTAAATGTATATTATACAGACAAACCTTCTCTACAGTTATCAAAGAAAAACTAAAAGAATGGAATTAATGTACAATTCCATTTAATTTAAACAAATGTAAAATATTATGATTGGAATAATAAAATTCATAACAAGTAGAATCTTTAATAAGTCTTTAAAGTAACCATTTACAATAGACAAAGATGATGATGAAGTTGAAGCAGCTGAGCATAAACCTTGCTTGTTATTAGATAAAATATTCTTTTGTATATTTGGATCATAATTATTTGGATCTGATTTTGATAAAAATGATGAATTTTGTTTTAGTGATGGGATAAGACCAGAATTATTTGTCAACCAAAATGTTTGAAATCGATTAGCATATGGATCAGCTGTATTTTTTTTAAAGAAAGAAAGAAAGAAAGAACGTAGTCAAGATAACACCTACTATTAAAAAAGTAACAGTTAAAAGAATATTATTATTTGTTTGGATTATGAGTACGATGGGGGAAACATTTTCTCCAATTTGTCATCTTCAATCAATAAATAATCGTTAATACTATATGATAAAATGCATGTTTCATCCAGTTTAGAAATATCCCCACGTATATATTCAAAGTAATCATTCGTGTTTTCTTTAATTGTTAGATAATTTCTGAAATGAATTCATTGTTATCTACTTAAACAATTTTTTCTAGATCAAGAGGTTTGTGAGAGTTAGTTTAGTTTACAGATGACTCCCTTTACAAACTAATGTTAGTTAGTGAACTGGTAAGAAGAGGAGAGCACTAAATAGCGATTTTTTCATAGACAGAACAGAGATCTGATATCTAATCAGGAACTTTCAAGTTCAACAACATGAGCGTAACTTTCAGACCAGTGGTTCAAATTCACTACACAACACAAAATTTATTAATGAGGAACTATAGATGTGTTTGAGCTTCTTCAGTTACAGATTCTCAGTGATCAGTCAGTGTTCATGTTTCGCACCTACATGCAGTCAGTTATAGTTCAAATAGCTCAGTGGTTGCGGTTCGAACTGTAACATTGAATAAATCAGTTCCCTCAAAGTTGCAGATACATCTTACTGACAAGTGCTAAGTAGCACAAAATTCAAACCCATGGCTTCTTTTCGATTGTCATTAATGCAAAAACTCAAAAAAGCAGAGGATTATTTTAGTTATAGTAGCTGAGAAAAAAAATATACTAAACGAAAAAGTGTTAAACATGCTACGTTTTTTAAATACTTTTGATGAAGCCATACACTTGATCTGAATTCTCAGAAAAAATCAGATGAAAAACTTACATAGCAATCCAGTGAAATCTCCATTCACAATTCCCAATCGCATGTTTCTTGAATGGCAGACACTAGGTTGAGCTAGGAAAGAAAACAAAATAACTAAGTGAAAAAGCATTCGTCAAATTATGATATCCCATTTGTTAATATGATATATATGCCGTTAATGTGAATAGATTCTTGACTACATCATTAATTCCCAAACAGCTTTCCTTCCTATTGAATTGATTCAGTAATAGCGTATATAATAAGAAAGCTCTCTTTTTCATTATGAAGCTAACTTTGTATTCAGAATTTGAGTTTACATTTCGACTCCGAATAGAATCATATAATCCTTTTGATCTATTGACTCAATGATATAAATGTTTCAACACTAACAACTGATACCCACTTAGCTTTCATAACTCATTTTGTTGTTGCATAAAATTAAATAAAATGTCTTCACATAATTTAAACTCCAGTAGGAATATAACATACTATCATATCGCACTTACTGATTTATATTATTTTTCCAGTTAGTGTCACTTTGTAAGGAAACCTGTCTTCGAACTTAACACATCTACAATTACTTGGTTAAAGTCTCTGTAGAAACATAAACTCTAGTAAAAGACGTAGAAATCTAGCTGATTAGATCCTCCCAGATAATATTCGAATCTTCATTTGCTTTTCGTTAGTGATTATCATCAAAGCAAGGGACCAGTGAAAACCATGAATCACTAAACAGCTATTTCACCTTAGTATGGGACATCTCAGTGGAGTGCATCCATGATCATTGCTGGCGTTTAATCAATAGTATTCAGATCTATGCGTTTTACTCCAATGTATTACATAAATGATTTCATTCATTTCATAGAGCGAAACATTACTCAATCTTATCGGAGATATTTATTTCACTTTCAACATGTTTAAATAACACTAATCATGACTTCTTACTAAGAACTTCAGCAAGTCATCTTAATATCAGTTTCCATTAAGCATACAATTACTGTTCAAGATGATTTTCATCATCAATTAATATCAACTAAAAAATCATTGACATATTTCAGTTCAAACCTATTGATCTGTAGATACATTACTTAGATGATTCAAAATTAGTATAACTTTGTCAAGTTTTATTCTTTATTTTCAACGGAACATATTCATACACATAGTTCCCCTTATCATTTTGAAACGAGCAAGAACAAACATTCTAGTAGAATAGCATGAATTCATTTTTATTTCGTTGGTTCTCGTCAGTTGCTTACAACCTGTGATATTTGAAATCATAATTATATAATGGGTTTAAATTACTTACATGAGAGGGTTTAGTTGGAAGTTATATTGAAAACATATTCGTATAGTATATCAAGGGTGTAAATAAATTTAATAAACTGAATATTGTAAATATATACCTTATATGATGAAAGAACATTCTACAACACTGACTGTGACAACAGTTCAAACAACTAGAAACAAGTGATTACATAATGAGCAACCGCTGATCGGAATAAAATGAGTAGAGTTCAGTTGATAAAACAAGATTATTAATTTGGAAGGATAGTTGAAATAAAACTCAATGATGTTGTAACAAATGCAAGAAAGAGTTTAAAGAAAAAGGAAAAAAGAGGAATATATTCAGATACAGAGAAGCAATAATATTCAATCTTAATAATCCATAATAAAATATACACAACACAGAGAATAATACTAGTCGCCTCATTTTCTATTTCAGGTTAAGGTATATGTAGAGAGAAAGAGAGAGAAGTGAAAAAAAAACATTATTAAGTTATCCATAGGATCAAGGTAAATTCCTATTTTATTATTAATGGTAAAATAAATAAATCAGTTTCATTTTCATACAGAAGGAAAAAAGGGCCAAAACAACAGTTTGTTAATTTAAATATTAAATAACAAAGTAAAAACATAATTTTAATAATAGATAATAAAGATTAGACATAATCAAATAGAAGTAGGTTAGATTTTAGAAGTTAACTATTATGTAATTAGTTTACATGACTTAATGAATGTAAACATTTCCATATCACATAATTTGATCATATCTATCTATCTAACTCTCCCTCCCTCCATCCCTCCCTCTCTCCCTCTCTCTTTATATATATATATAAAGAGAGAGGGAGGGAGAGGAAGGAAGGATTATTTAGTGGTAAAAGATAATGACTAAAAGCGGACTTTTACAAGTAACCATATTAACAATGATATTATCAAGGTTAAGTAATATATATTATGTTAAGAATGGTTCATTATAAATCTTATTGTTATATCCAAGCGAAGATTAAATTACGAGTAACTTCTGAGAACTATGAATGGACTAATATTTTCTATATATACTTATGGTATAACTATTCAATAATTAGTTTATGTATATCTATATTCATCTTACTATAAGCTTCATTTTGACTTATAGATTATTATTATACGATTTACTGTTCAGTTTATTGATTATAGTCTCTCACGTTCATAGCTACTTTTGACTTTATTTTGTATAAATGTTATTTCTTATTTTATGGTGTGATGCAGTCTGTTTGGCTGGTATATAAACTAAGTATTTCTGAAATAAATGATTCGCATTGTGGAAGCTGTTATTGATGTTCTGAACTCAACTGGCTGGGCTAGAAAGGAAGCAGGACCAACAAGCACGCTAGGCTGATCAGACCGGTCGAATATCATTGGTTTAGTACAGTACAAGAGTACGTTGTATTTCGATTGACGAATAAATTACATGACAACAAACCGGACTTAAAGTCTGTATTGGTTAATTCCGTCAGTTACCCAAACATTAAAACCTATACTTTAGTACGATCATCATGAAGTATTAGATGAGTATTTTTAAAAACAAATGATTCATATCCAGAGGACTATGCAGTTTATAATCGATTAAATAAAAAAATATTCTACTATGCAATTCATAATTTCATACTAAGACAAGTAAAATCAACGGTTTAAAGTTTATTGTAAATTAATTTAGATCATAACATATCGATTGAAATACAGAAGTTCCAAACCATTACCGAAAAAAGTGGTTTCACAAGATTAAAGGTTTAAGTGAACAATGAAGTTTCAAAGTGATTTAAATCAAATAAAATAATCATATAGAAAAGTGTTTAAAATCAGGAACAATTAAAAAATTAAAACGGATTTAATGGGAAATCATTAAAGTAAAAACAAAGTTTCTGAGAAATGAAAAAAATTATCAAGAGAGAAAACACAAATAAAGAAAATTATATAAAAAGTGATAGGAAGAAAATGACGGGTCAAAATAAGATCATATTGAGGACCTCGAGAACAAAGTGCGCTCCACCAACGTCAACCACTGCAAATTACCTCTCTCCCTCCACTCCACGACCAACACATCGCAGATGTCGCTGGTGTCGTCCGACCACACCCGAGCATTCGTCGTCTCAGTCCAACACCACCTGCCGAAGACATCACTCACTCATGCGTAATTTCATGCACACAATCACACACACGCACACACACGATGCATCTGACACCTCTCCACCAGTCAGTCTTTCGTTACCATGATATTTGTCAGAAAACACGTCACCACTGGTCGAGTTGGTGTGTCGACGCTGACACTACTCCGATCGACAGTAACACTGTGATGCATGGACGACCCTTAAACGATGCTCAAATGAACTTGAGAATGTCCACCTACTTACTAGGGTTGAATGGGGTTTGTAGATTAGTGTGAAGAATTAGGATTAGGACTTACATTTGGACAGTAGGGTTGGGAATTAGAGTCAGGCTTTTCATCACGAACTGACATCAGTTCGTGTGGTATAATGCAGTTTAGACATGTGGATGAATGGATTTCGTGCTGAAATGCAAGACCTGAAGTTTTAAATCGGATTGGTTCGTCCACCAATTATAGTCTCGCCGCATCGACTTCATCTTCAGTGGATAGTCCGTGTCAGTATGAGTCACGAGCTATGCATTCGACCGATCTCAGTGGTGTTTGGCTCACCACACACAAGACACGAATGACCGAAGCTGAACGATGAAGTTTCCATGAACAATTATATTAACATAAATATAATTATGTATATATATGTATAACTCAATATATATATATATATATATATATCTATATATATATATATATACATATTCGGAGGTGAATATGCATATGCGTGTAGTTGGATGTGACGAAAGTAAGTTTGTTAGGGTGTTGTTGAGCGGTATTGAGTGTTTGGTTGAGACAGTGAGTGGTGACTGATGAGCGATTGTGCATGATTGTGCATGAATGTGTGTGTGTGTGTTTGTACGTTTGTGTGTGTGAGGTGAGTTGATGTGGACGGTTGGTGTGAGATGAGACGATGGGTGGCAAGTCGTGGGCTCCGTGGCCTAATGGATAAGGCATCTGACTTCGGATCAGAAGATTGCGGGTTCGAGTCCCGTCGGGGTCGGCTTTTAGTCCCACCATCCTGGTCACCTGTCAGCCCACAGTGTGCTCCACCAACGTCAACCACTGCAAATTACCTCTCTCCCTCCACTCCACGACCAACACATCGCAGATGTCGCTGGTGTCGTCCGACCACACCCGAGCATTCGTCGTCTCAGTCCAACACCACCTGCCGAAGACATCACTCACTCATGCGTAATTTCATGCACACAATCACACACACGCACACACACGATGCATCTGACACCTCTCCACCAGTCAGTCTTTCGTTACCATGATATTTGTCAGAAAACACGTCACCACTGGTCGAGTTGGTGTGTCGACGCTGACACTACTCCGATCGACAGTAACACTGTGATGCATGGACGACCCTTAAACGATGCTCAAATGAACTTGAGAATGTCCACCTACTTACTAGGGTTGAATGGGGTTTGTAGATTAGTGTGAAGAATTAGGATTAGGACTTACATTTGGACAGTAGGGTTGGGAATTAGAGTCAGGCTTTTCATCACGAACTGACATCAGTTCGTGTGGTATAATGCAGTTTAGACATGTGGATGAATGGATTTCGTGCTGAAATGCAAGACCTGAAGTTTTAAATCGGATTGGTTCGTCCACCAATTATAGTCTCGCCGCATCGACTTCATCTTCAGTGGATAGTCCGTGTCAGTATGAGTCA